TGAAGCCGTGGTTTACAGTGAATTTATAACAGCTAAGGGGGTTTTACTCCGCTTCACGTCATGCCTAACAATGCCCCTTAGCTGTTATAAATTCACTGTAAACCACGGCTTCACGGGGCTTATTGCTTTTATAAAACGGTTATTCCATATACGTAGTAAGGTTTCACAGAATAAAACAGAGCAAATAAAGTGTAATGATATTAATAAAAACAGTATTCTTCCACCAAACAATGTAGCTCCTCAGAAACAGTTGTGGTTGCAACAAAGTGGTTGCCGAGCAACAGACAAACGTAAACAAAGGTGTATGTTACTTTGTAGAGTCATTTACAACAGCTTCGAACACAGCTCAGCCAATCAGAATCAAGGACCGGAACTCCGGTTTTGTAAATTGTATTTAAGCTGGAATATTAGTTAAAACCAGCACCAGTGTGATTGTACTATCACTGCCATATTATTATAGTTTCAATTATTATTTTGAATAGACTTTTATTATAATTTTTTTCATTTTTCATTCTGATTTTAGTTCAACTTTAGTAATTTATCATGTTTTGTTTAGTACATTTGATGTGTTTTATTAGTGTTTATTTTTGTAAATATGTCTATGTAGTTTTTATCTTGCTCTTCTGTGATGCACTTTGGTCAGCCTAGTGGCTTGAACTTGAACTTGAAAGTTTTATTTGAAGTTAAACTAAATGAAAACAAGACATACATATTTGGCAACTAGCTGAAATAAAATAAGTTTTATTTATTTATTAATGTTTTTATATTCAGTTAACTTTTATGTCAAGTAACGAAACTGTATTTTTATATTTTTAGTTATAGTTAGCTGTAATAACTGATCAGCACAGTGTTATTTTAGTCTAATTAATATGCTATTTATTATTCATGAACAATATTATTATTGATGTTGATGTTCATAATTTTTATTTTTGTATTTTCCCGATTTAATGTTTTTTTTTTTTTTTTGTAATTGTTGGCTTTTGTCACTTTAATTAGTTTTTATTTTTTACAACACGTTTATTTAATTTGTATTAGTATTTATTTACATTTTAGTTACACTTCGTTTATTTTACTTTCAGTTTTGTTTTTACATTTATTTGATTTCAATTAACCAAAATGCAATTGAATAGTTTTATTAACAATAACAACAAAGGAGGCAGTGTCCGTTCTCTTTTTGATGCGTAACATCCAGTGTTTTTATTTGCTTTGACGTGTGCAGTACTGAAGACGAGTTTGATGGATGAAGAGCTGATCTTCCTGAACATTCCCGTCCGGAACAGAGACTCGGATCGGCTCAGTATGACCACTGATGACCTCCTGGCTCTCCCAAATGACGGCTCTCTCCCCGTGACCCGCACCTCGGCCCTCCTCTCCCGCTCTGGGAGCTTTCCGTTGGGATTGAGCTTCAACTCTAGCTCCCGGTCACACTCCCGGTCCATTATGGCCCATAAAAACTCCATAAGGCGTCCCGTCCCTGTGGATGATTTACTGATGGCTGGTTTGAGGTCACACCGTCAAGCTCCTCCCCCCAACATCCCGCCAGCCAATCGGACGCCCAGATCCAGTCATCTCCCGCGCTGGATGACCAGCCAGAAATCCGACATGGATGTTTCCGGGATGACCAGCGTTCCTGAGCTGAAGTATCCGGTGTGGCTGAGACAGTGTGAAGAATCCTCAGATCATCCTCTTCCTCCCAGAGTTCCTTCATGGGTTGGAGAACTGGAAGAGTCCAGTGGAGAACGTCAGTCGGACGCTAAAGGTCAGCGAGGTGTCAAAGGTCACGCAGGAGAGCCGTATGGATCCCAGTCCATCAGTCAGTGCAGTCTGAGAGATCTGCGTTTACAGTTTGAGCAGAAACTCCAGGCAGCGAAGAGAGGACCGATTCATGAAGGACCTCTTTTCAAAGGTTTGCCAGTTTAAACAAACACCACCATCTAATTTTCAGAGGAATATTTCATCCAAAAATGAAAATAAAATTATGTATTTTTAAAGTTTTATGTATTATTATGTACTCATTTTCATGGTGTTATTTATTTATTTCATTTTTGGTAATTTAGTTCTTCAACTTGGCAATGTCTTGGCAAGAGACTGAAATAATACGTTTTGAATGTTTTCTTTTATTTCAGTAGTTTATCAATATTTTTGATTTAATATCATTAATATTAAATTTATTCATATGTTGAATGAGTTTTTAAAATGTTTATATTTTCCACTTTTCCGTTCATTTAAATTTTAGTTTAGGTTTTAGCTGTGTTTTGATTGTTATTTTTTTTGTTTCATATTTTTAATTCAGTTTTAGCAATTATAGTACTTCAACTTAAATTAAATGAAAATTAGAAATGTTGTCTTGGCAACAAACTGAAATAAATTATTTTAATACTTTTTATTTTATTTCAATAATGTGTTAATATTTTTCTGTTTAATAGTATAATCCATATATTTAATATTTTTTATTTAGTAATATTTTTTATTTCCCCCTGATTTTTCCATTCAATTAAATTTCAGTAAATATCATAAAAAAAATACATTTTAGTTTAGCTTTGTGTTTTTTATGGGTTTCAATCGTTTTTTTTTTTT